GAACATAAAGTGACCTCACCTTTCTGGCTCCTCTTGTGCTTGCTCTCGGGTAGTGTGGCGGCCCAGCCCTTTGGGAGCACGCCCTGCTGCTTTGGCGCCAACAGCTGTGGAAGCGTATCACCGCTGGCCCAGAGCGCGTGGGCGGCAGCGCCGCTGGCAGACGAAGCGGAAGCCTGGGACGCTGGCGGTGAGATGAAATAAAGTCACTTCTCACTTTAATTTCTCTGTCTGTGCATTTTTCCCCCCGACCGACACAATGAAGTCACTCACACTTAGACTCCACCTCCACGGCAGCTGCGAGGAGGACGTCGTCCGATGGCTCGGACGGTGCTGACGGCCGCTCACTTGTGGCTGCACAGAGATGCAAATTGGCACAATCATGCGGCCATTCGAGGTCAGTCGTTGGAAATACGGAGATAAAAATTGGCAGAATGTGGGGCCGTTTGGACCCATAAGTCGTTTACCTGGACGAGACACTTTGTAATTTGCCTCATTGTCTCGCCCCACAATGTAGGCGTTCAAGTTGTGGAAGAAAGAGCCCGGCGTACCTGTCACTGTGCGTATATGACGCACATACCTACACACAGAAACCAAAAACGAAAAATACACGAGTTAGTTAAGCAATGACAAGTTTTCCCCTCCCCATACATAAACAAACGCAATTTACGCTCAGTGCCGCTCATCAGTCGCCTCGTAGAGAGAACAGTAGCTTTCGCCGGGGAACTGTCCCATTTTCAGCAGTTGCTGATCGAGCTCCCTGACCAACGGTGCTCCCATCACCATCAGCCGATGCCGCACGACAACGGCCATCTCCGGGAAGACGTGAGCGTACAACGCCAGGGCATCTTTGTTGGCTGCCAGGGGTGACTGCGACATGTCGCCGTTTTCTCTCTCTTTCTGGTGAGAGGCCACAACCATGGCCCCGTAGCCCACATCGTTTTCAAGGAGCCACTTGAATGTTTGGCCCCGGTACTGGCCGAACTGGAGCGTCGTCTCGCTGAGCACCAGTTGCCAGCACTCAGGGTCTCCTCCGCCTTGGACAACGCGGGCCACTATTAGCAAACGTACAGGAAAAATAAATAATACTTTTTTTAAATAATGCAATGAAATTATTTAGGGGGGCTAAAGACATTTTTAGGGAGGCTGAAGCCTCCCTAAAATAGGCCTAATGACGCCCATGCCCCCCACACTCGATTATACATATCAGGTCAAAGAAATGTTTGTAAAACGTCTTCGACAGGTCAAAGAAATGTTTGTAAAACGTGTTCGACTGGGGTAATTGCGATATATGTGGCTTTTCTTTCTTTTTTTTAATCCATCGCATTCATTCGCGCATGAATATGCTCCCCCCCTCAATTATATATGCCCCCCACACTCGATTATACATATCAGGTCAAAAAATGTTTGTAAAACGTGTTCGACTGGGGTAATTGCGATATATGTGGCTTTTCTTTTTTTTTTTTAATCCATCGCATTCGCACACACATGAATATGCTCCCCCCCTCAATTATCTATGCCCCCCCACACTCGATTATACATATCAGGTCAAAAAATGTTTGTAAAACGTGTTCGACTGGGGTAACTGCGATATATGTGGCTTTTCTTTTTTTTTTTTAATCCATCGCATTCATTCGCGCATGAAAAAAATACTTCCCCCTTTGTATTTACTTTCAAACATGTACATCGGTAATGCGTTCGACTGGGGTAATGGTTTCGTCTTCTCCTTGAAAGTATTCCAGCGATTTATATTAGGAGTGTTGAAGTTAGACGCCATTACAACATTTGTGAGGGGGGGAGAGCAGAAAATGTAAAAATACAGTAACTGAGCATACGTTAGCGTAATTCGTTCGACGCATTCGCGCCCGATACAGTACTCAACCAAACTTACCAGAAGGGTGATTCCGAGAGTCTCGATTGTTGGTGAGTTAAACAACGATGTGAGTTTAATATTACGACCGGTAATATTGACCAAAGTTGATAGAATGAATCGCGGAGCGAGCGAGGGCGGTGACGAGAGCGGTGCGCTCGGTAGGACATGAGCCAATGGGAGCAGATTACCATTTCCTTGTCGTCAGCGATTGGCTGAGGCCTAAAATATGAAGTCGACCAAACGGGAGGGTACAGTGTGTGTCTGATGTGGTGTACGTTCGCCATTGGTCGGTTTCCTAAGTAAGTAACTTACGTTTTGAACCAATCACAATTGGCAAAGGTCCCCCGATCATGTGCCCGCTTGCCATTGGTCAGTTTCCTAAGTTAGAACTTACGTTTTGAACCAATCACAATAGGAAAAGGCACCCCGAAGATGGCCATGTACTAGCCGCGGCTGAAACTGCGCATTCTTCGGGTTTTCGACGCGGTCCGTTTTTCCTCCCGCGACGGTCGGGTTCGACGGCGGTCATCGTCCGAGGCATGCCCTTGGGGTCGAATCGCGCGGCGGACCGACGGCGGCCGCTGGCCGGCTCTGACCGCTTACTTTTGCAACGACCTGTCGGACGAGGGCTCGGAACGCCCCAGGCGCGCATGCAAATTAGCCATGTGCGCGAAAGCCACGCGCGGTATTTGAAATGTCCGTACCTTGTGTGTCGTCCGAAACGAAAATTAAAATCATTTGCCCCGCCGCCTGCCCCCCTCCCTCTTAAAACAAACGGTGAACCAAACAAACAGTGAATCAATTCATCAACACAAAGCCACTCACTCGCTGCTGCTTCACACATCTATTTATTGATTGAATTGACAAACTTCACACACCACATCTATTTCTTGAAGATTGAAATACACACACATGCAAGAGAGACGTTATGATACAGTTGAGATTAAGGAGATTTGGTGTCTTGCGTAGCAGCAGCAACAGCAAGTTGCTGCTGAGGAGATTTGGTGTCTTGCATAGCAGCAGCAACAGCAAGTTGCTGCTGAGGTCGCGTGAGGTCGGTTTCCCTCGCCCGCATCTCCGCCAGCCACAGGGCCAACAACGGTTTTCCTGCATGGAGCGTGCAGAACGTTAGGAGAGACCTGTTGGCACATTGGTCAGAAAAAAACTGTTGCCATTGACCGCCTGTTGTGGGAGGCCTCACTTTCCGCACGTTCTGATTTTGCGAGCTTCCAGCTGTTGCTCCGTGGTCCGGCCTTTGCATTGCCGCCACCGCGCGGTGGAACGGGGAGGTCGTTGCGGCATCGCAGACGACTGCTTTTGCCCCCATGCCGATGCCGAAACGTTCTTCACGTTGTCCTCCCCGCAACCAGCCTCGTTCATTTGGCAGAAATAGCTGCCTTTGTAAAAGGCATGCCCCCCCCCCCCAAAGTCCGAGGCTGGCCATACCACAGGCAGTCCTCCCCGGGTTTGTTGCCCCACGTGTATCGCTCGTTGGCATCGAGCAGCTGCTGGTCCCGCAGAGCTCTGGTTTTCCTCCTGTGAACGGTACACCTCGCAGGCCCGGGCGCATCACCGCTGCCGCCGGGCCGGGGCTCGCCGCTGGGACGGTACGTCCTCCTCCTCCTCCTCCTGTAAGCCATCAGGCCACCGCACGTATCGCACTTTCCTCGGCACTCCACGCAAATTGTGGGGGCACTTGCGGCAGATGATGGAATGCTGACCTCTGCAAAAACATCAAGCAAAGTTGGCTGGTTGGTGTGCTGTCTGGCTGGCTGGCTGAGAAAAATGGGAACGTGCAAGAAGTGGGAGCTATTTATGTAAAGTGCGTGGGGGCTGGTGGGGGGCTGGTCAAGTGCAAATCCCCGATTGGAGGGGAGGTGGGGGACCATCTCCCTTGGTCGTCGGGGCAGGGGGGCTGTCGTCGGGGGGTGCGGGAAGCAAACGACGCATTCCGGGAGGAGCAGGCCGGGGCTTAGCGCGCGTCGGTAAGCGCAGTGGTGCGGGTCCGCTCTGCGGGAGGTCACATCAAATCGTCACGTTAAGTACCGGTCGGTTGGGTCGTGAAAACAAAGCAAGAGTGAGCAGTGACAACAACGAAGCAACTAGTGTGAACGTGGCATGGGCTGCCAGGTAGCTGTCAAGAAAAAAGAAGGAGCAGGTTGTGTCATGATTCGGTTTGGGACCAACAGGTGGCACTGTAGGGCTCCCCTGCAGCTGCACACCTGTTGGTCATTATGTAATTAGTGGCTTTAAAAGGACTCCCAGCCCGAGCAATCATTGTCGGGTCATTGTTGCTCTTTGCTACTGTCATGTTTGTTTGTTGCTGTTTGCTGGCTGCTGTCATGTTTGTTTCAGTCAGGTTTTGGTCATTATGGTTTATCTTCGGTCATGTGGTTTGTTTGATACTTTGGACTTTGTTTTGGATATAGTTTTCTGAGTTTTAATACAATCTTTCAAGTACACCCTGCCCCTCCCTCCTGCCTGCTTTTTTGGGGTCCACCACCACCTCGCTACGTGACAAGTTGAGAGCTTGACACCCGCCCGACGCCGACATCTCCCAAGGCCAAGGCCTGCCGGAAAGGGCGGCGGCAGAACATAAAGTGACCTCACCTTTCTGGCCGTGTCCTGGCTTCTCTTCTCTTCCAGCCAGTCCTCCACCGAACGACCCTCCGCCTGTGAGCAAAAGTGCTCGTTCCTGTCTTTGGCTTTGGGCTTGCCGCAGCGCTTGCAGAGGAAATGAGCCACCTTGGGCAGCCTCGCCCGGTGCGCGACATTCCACCCGACTTGGCCCCCCTTGCCGGACGGCGGAGTGGAGGCTCCGGGACTGGCGGAGGGCGAAGGGGTGGAGCGCTCATCTTCGGGCGTGGGCAGCGCCTGGAAAAGATCGGGCAGGATGGGACCCCTGTGAGTCACCCCCGATCCGCCTGTCTCTGTTGGGTGCTCAAACGCCGCGTCCCCCCGAGGCTGCCGATCCAGCAAGGGCTTGGCCTCTGCTGCAAAGGAAAACAAACGTAGTTGCTTGAAAAAGGCTCGTCGTCCTCGGCGCGGTGGCGACCACCGAGCAAGCCTTACGCACCACTGAGTAAGGGTACGGTGGTTAACCGCAAACAGGTGGATGGGGGCCGCGGCCAGGAGCTCTCTGGTCCTGCACAGGTCTCTGATGCGACCGTAGTCCCGCATGACCGGGCCCCAGCGACTGATGCGCACACCGGCGAGGCAATGCCCCTGGCTGTGAACGTGGGACAGGTCCGACAAGATGGCCTCCACCAGCCTGCTGGCACTCGGAGAACGTGCCACTTCAGTCACCTTCCCGACAAAGAGACTGGCGCAGAAGAGATCACGTCACGTCAGAGGACCGGATACTTGACAAAGCCGCCATCGGCCGGCGACGAAATTTCACGCGCGTGTACCGTTTGGCGGCCTCCATGCTCGGCACGTGGGGACCCTTGGAGGATCCCGTCTTGCAGCGGCCCTGGACCAGCGGCTTATGGCGCGGCGGAACGGCCGGCGGAGGAGCCTTGTCGTGGTCGGGCAGCTTCTGCCACAGGTCTTTTATTCGCGAGACCTGAGACGGTCTCACGTAGGCGTTGCGGCGCAGCTGCACCAGCGCGTCGGCCAGCCCGCCGACGTGCTGGTAACCCCCTCGGCCGTCCGGTCCCACGACATCCTCCTCCTGCGGGGTTCAAAAGTAGAAGGGCTCGAGGTGCCGTATGCGCGCTGAACAAAATCGAGACCGAGAGAAGGACACGTACCTCTTGCTCCTCCTGCCCCGGCTGCCACGGCTCATCTTCCGGGAGGCCCTCGATCACGCCGACATGGCCAACACTTGGAATTCAAGGCCTTCCTCGTCTTCCTCCTGCTCGTCCGCCTGCTCCTCCACCTGGTCTTGCCAGTCGCCCGCGTCCTCCTCATCCCTCCTGGGCAAGTCTGGAGCACGGCCCCGGTGTGCGCATGCAGGTACTCCACCCCGATGAGCTCCCCTGAAGTTCGATGATTGACTTTGTGGTTGTATCATAGGATTTTTGGCCACATGTTTTGGACACTCGGGTGAAGAGAGGGGCAGAGCTGTCAACTCACGTGGTGGTGAGTAGGCTCCGATGGTGGGGGAAGATGCCGGTCCGTCCTGGAAGACCCAAACGTATTGTGAGGGTTTGTTGGGAGTGTCTGGCGGAATCCCCTGTCAGAAAGAGTTTCAACTTCCACCTCCGGCAGAGCTTTTCCCATGTCCCAGGGGATGCGGGGGACATTGAGTCCGAATGGACCATGTTCCGTGCCTCTATTGTTGAGGCGGCCAATCTGAGTTGTGGACGAAAGGTGGTTGGTGCCTGTCGTGGCGGCAACCCCCGTACTTGCTGGTGGACACCAGCAGTAATGGATGCCGTCAAGCTGAGTCCTATTGGGCTTTTATGACCTGTGGGACCCCAGAGGCAGCTGACGGCCATCCACTGG